AGTTTCAGTGGCTTGACCCAGTGAGTATCCATCTATTATGTATGTACCAGGGTTTCTCAACCAAGACACTATTGACATGTTGGGCTGGATATGTCTTTGTTGTAGGGGCGCCCTGTGCACTCTAGGATGTTTAGCCTACACCTGGCCTCTACTTACTATATGGCAGTAGCATCTCTCCCACATTCTCTAGTCATGACAATCAAAAACGTCTCCAGATCCTCTAGTCACAGCGATCAAAAATGTCTCCAGACATTGCCAAATGTCCCCATGGGAGGCAAAATCCTCCCCTCTCAGACCCCAGGCCTGTTGCTATTTTATACTAGGCTCTCCTTTCTCTTCTAATACTATGGTAGTGTTAAACATGAGATAACACTATACTATTGATGATACTTTTTATGTGTAGGAAGAGGGAAAAAAATGCCAGAGATTCTAACACAAATGTGGGATTTGACTGCCATACTTCTAAATTAACAGGAGAAAGAGGTTGCTTGGTTACCTGAAACACAAGGCGTAAAAGTTTCTAGGTAACAGCTTAGGCATTTTAGGGCTGAAAAGTAAAATTTGTCTAGATGAATGTATTTAAAAAAAAGGAAAGCGGGCTATAGCTGTAGACAACTTCCATAAATAAGATAGATGACTTCTCTAAAGATTAATATAGTAAAAGGCTCAGGTGAAGAGGGGAAAAAGGACTTTTTGAATGCCTAACTTTAAGATACTGACAAAACACTGTGGGAGAACTGGAAAACAAGGCTTTGGAACAGGACAATTAGCATTTGAATCTTAACTCCATCTGCTTTACTTTCTTATCTTGGGTAAGACATTTAATCCCTCTGAGCCCAGAATTTGAAAAAAAAAAAAAGCCTATTTAATTTCCTGTCTTGCTTGAGGAACGAGACAGTCTTCTATCTGTATTTCTAGTACCCGGAAAATAATATAAATATCTATAAATGAGTTTTAAGTGAAAAATAAAAAGATTCCTTTCTTCTTTAAGAGCTATATAAGTCATTCTATATTTTAAAGATTTCTTGTTTTTCTAATAATTTTCAGCTTTACCCCCAAAATTATTTACAGTGTTCACGAATGACTTGGGAACTGACCAGGAATGGTAATGAATGGTTTTAACTTATCTTTGGGTTTCCTTTTAAAAAATAAGAAATGTGAAAAATGAGGTTTTAATCAAAAAGATTTAGACTTGTCCTGAACCACAATTCTTACATCTATTAGTAATCTTAATAATGCTTATGCCATTCAGGCATCAAGGGAGATGTCGATCATAGCACACAACCCTCCAGCAGGGAGTAGCAGTTGCTTGCCTCAAAACCAAAAGATATGAGCCAAAATGGATGGGGAATCTTGGTAGACTACGCTGACCTCTGATTAAGTGGTAGAGTATGTAACAAGGACGGCAGCTCATCTTAGTGCTTTTACAGAGAAGAGAAGCTGTAAAAAGCTAAGTGTTATATGTATGAGCCTTTCACTATATTTCTATCAAGACCTAAAGCTTTGAGTATGCAATGATATTTGAAATTACTTTATCACATCAAAGGTAGTATATTGGCATCGCATGGTTCACACATCACTAACAGGTGACAGGCATTTCATCCCCTTCCCCCTCAGAGTCATCATCTCATCCCTCTCTAGCAGATAGTTTTCAACTCTCCTCTCTACCAAGTCAAGTTAGGACATCTATTCTTTTCTAAAAAGTCGCTGGGGATGGTCCAGAGTTTTCAGTAATCGGGAGAAATTATCATAAAGAACACATTTACAAAAATCCTGCAGCATATCACCTCCTTGAAAAAGGAAAAAGAGAAACACTAAATATTGTCTGCCAGAGACAAACACAGTACAATTTTTGCCTCCCTTGGTTGAAACAAACAACTTTGAAGAGTTTAGATCTCTAACTCATTTTTTTTGATCTAACATTTGGTATCAGATCCCATGGACAACGGAAATTTGCTAAATGTGTGTGGGTTTTGGTGATTCAGATGCCGAACAAATGGGAGAAAAGGCTTTAATTTTCCCAATATTCAGAATATTACTTCATTACAAAAGAAATGTCACTTATAAGCAGCCCCTCCTCCTCCTACATTTTATGTTCTGCTGAACTTTTTTTTATGTACCTCATTTGGTTACATAATTTGTGGCATGAGACAGCTAGACAAGTGAAACAATGCTCAACATTTTAACCAAAGGCAATATTCAGGGTTCTGGAAAATGAATCTTTACACAAAAGACGCATCTAGTGTCAAAGTAAACTTCTTATATGAATCCTAACAGAGGATAAATTTAATTTATACATGATTAGCTTGAACAAAACATTTGAAATTTTAAAACAAGTTATGATACTTTAAACATCTTTTATGTATGGATTTAAATTCCTAACAATATTGGTCAAGTTTTAATATGCAGAGACAGCAAAGTGTATATAGTTGAGTTATACTTTCTACAACACTCTCAATCCTGGTTTCGGGTTTGAAAGCTAGGCTTTCTAAAATGCTTAATGTAATCTAAAATTCTAATGCAATCTGAAATTCATGATGTTCTACACCAGGCAAAGTTGACGTCCTAGTTCAGACTTTGTTTTAACTAGTTTCTTAGTCTCTCATGAGGTATCATTTGTTTTGCGTTTGCTTGGGCTTTTTTATTCCTAGAGGTCTTCCTTTAGGCTCTAATGTCTTGTTACCTGTATTTTGGTATTTGTACAATATTATATTTCCCTCATTTTGCATTCAGTGGGAGCTGTTCTCTGGCTAACCTCACCTGCCTAAGGGCGATAAGGAACAGTAGTTCCTGAGGGCCTCTCTAGCTCTCAGCTCAAAAGCCTCTGGGTCACTGCACTACCTGGCTACTGGCAACATCACCATGAGCTTCCCTGACACCACAGATTTCAATGACTCTAAGACAGGACAGAGTTGCTGTTATTTGGGTCCATGTATCCACATGCAACCATTCTTTTTGTTTATTTGTTTTTGTTCTCCAATGGCCTTTCATAGCATCCATTGATGATCATTTTCACATGCAACCATTCTTAAAGACTGTTATAAGTTTTCTGGAACTAAACATAACATTTGCTACTAACACTGTTTCCTTTTATTCTTGTTTTTAACTGAGTCTTTATTTCTCTCTGCATAAAATATTTGTTCCTCTAGGATTTACAGAATATAAATTCTTCTGGAGCCTTAAAAATATTAAGACCACAAGTAATACAGAAAAATAATGAAAATCCAAGAGCTATCCAAAGTAAGTTCAGAAATTCTGTAGCAAATCATAGCATCTGGAAAATTCATAAAAATTGATATAATCTTTTCTATACTGGCACAATCAATATATAGGATATAAAATGCAGAACACATTAAAGGTAAGAGATTAAAATGTAGATAATGGATAAGGCACAAAGGTTTTTAAGTGATTTTCTTTCCTATAACATGAATCCTTTAAAACTACGACTAGGTAAATACTTATTACCTATACTTCAAATTCTTTTAGGAAATAGCACTACCAAGAGAGAAATGGAGATTGGTGATGAAATCTCCAAGTACCAAGAAGAAATACTTGTTGAAAATATTCAGAAAACTACAAACCTTACACTAGGCCTATTAACTAAAATTACATGATTTATAGTGCAACCAGCATTTAATTTCTATGGTAGAGAATACAGTTATTTCATTCATGGAAATCTAGCAAGGATAGTGTAAACAGTTGCCAAATTTCCCTACTGCTAATTTGGGCCAGTGAGCATAAAACTAAAATTTTGTTTAAAAGTGGTTTTTTGGGGGGGAGGGGTAGGAAATGCTAGAGAACATAAAGAAAAGACTGAAAGGAGAAACTTTCACAGCTATTTAGAAGGGGGTCAACTAGATATATAATAATTACTAAAAATTTGTTCTGAAAGAGCAAAACAAAAAATTTCTAAAAGGCTGAAGTTCTATCTTTACCAGAGGTTTTTAAACTTTCAATATTAAAAAGAAACATTTTTGGCAAAATAAAATGCCCAAATTAAAACATTCAAAGTTGTTAAATATTCTCAAGTAAACAAATTACTACATAGCTTGAGTTAAAGATCCACAAAAAGGCTAACAATTTTTCAGTTATGAGAAACAGCAAGGGTTATATTATATTTATTATTTAGATGGATTATCCAAACTTTAATTAAAAGTTCCTCCCATAAATGAAGAGAGAATACATTTAAGGGAGATACCACTACTGAACAGCTAAAAGGAAAATAAAGCAACAACAAACAAACGTATTCTAAAGAGCTTCTATATAGTCTACCAAATTAAAACTCATAATTGTAAAAACATATCACGCATATTAATGCTAATTTTTATTTAAAATAATTACTTTTCTCTTTTAGGCAGCAATTACCCTCCAATATGGTCCTCAGCCAGCTGAAGCAAAGGATGTAAGGGAGCAGCACCACAAAGTATGTAAGGCCGATACAACAGAATCCCAAAATTATAGAAGGGTAAGGGACACAGGGATGAGAAACAAAGTCCACTATCTTTCCATGTAGACCCAAAACTTCAAAAGAATGAAATTACAAATTATCGCTCTAGTGATTCATTTATGATACTCAAACTAAGCCATTTTAGTAATCTTCATGGGTCAAGTTAAAAGGTAACCCTTTTTAAGACCTCTTTGGTAAAAATAATACATAGTAAATACGTTCCCTCATCGGTGGAAGATAGAATTTTGCAAAACAAAATTTCCCTTCTCTGCCTTAACTCTGATCTTGTTTTATGAACAAGATGCTACAAAAATGGTGCATTATTTATTTATGGAAGAATGGAGAAGGGAATGATGAACTCACCATTTCAATCTATTTGCCTTCACAAACCAGGATTTAGCATAGAAGATGAAATTCTATTCTTTGTGGAAGGATGGAATTTTTTTCTCTATTTACCTTAGTATTTATCTGGACACAATTTTACAGATCAGGGAATGAAGTAGTAAGCTATGATACTGATATTATGGGTAAGGTAATAAGAAACTTAACTTACCACTTCTTAGGCTTTGACAATGGTTTGTATTTGCCGTATTTTACACGCCATTCAAGAATTTCTTTACAGCGCTGACATACTCCATCATGAAGTTTTGCATTAATTTTCTAAAAAACAGAAAAACAAATGGAGAATTTCTCTTGTGAGTCAGCATTACAAACCCCAAAAGGAGACGCTTAAGTTTTTTCAAAATAGTAACCTAACTTTAATCTGTATAACATTTTACGATATACTATGTACTTACTTTTTGTACGTTACCAATTTGGTTCTTTATAAAGGCAAAGATTCTTAACTGGGAGTAGTTCAGAATCATCTAGGAAACTTAAATTTCCTGGCAGGGGTATTTTAAGAAAGTCTTCTACTGTGTGTGGCAGGGGGAGTGAGGGGGGTTGGTTGGGAGGGGTGTACAACTCAGTGGTAGAACACACGCTTATCATGCACAAGGTTCTGGGTTGATTCTGATGCATGTGTTACAACTCAAACTGTATAGTTAAGATACATGCATTTTACTGGATGCAATAAAAGTGTAAGAGAAGAAAATCTAGTTCAAATTTTAAGACTACTGTTCTGACAATTTAAATCTTACCATTGAGAAATGAGAAATTAAGCTGAGAAATTAGGTAGTCCTGAATTGTCAGTCTGCAGGGGAGAGCAGAAACAGAAACTTGAGAAAGGAGAGCCATGGAGAAGCAGCTGGAAGCAAGAAGGCATTTAATTATTTAACTTAATCCTTTTGTATTCTCATGTAATGAAAAATATTTTAGAAAAGTTCACCTGGTTTCTTCAAAACAGAAAATACGTATGTGCATGTGCTGTGGTGGAAAAAGAGCTTTGTGAGGGGGGAAAATAACATTTATATTATAATTTTCTTCCCCAAATGTGTTGGGAAATAAGGAGGAAGGGAAATGTTTAGATATGTCATGTGTTCTCACAATAGCTTTATATTTTATAACATATTCATTTGACTCAGGACCTAGAGTATGTATTTTCACCCAGGACGCTGAGAATTCTCTAACTTATTTTGGTTGTGGAAGCCTGGTCTTTGCCTATTGTTACAATAATGAGTAATGGACATTTTAAGTTTTCTTTGCTTCTTTTGTTTCCTTTTTTAATTTCTCAAGAGAAGAGAAAAAAAAAAAAGCACCCCAAAAGATGCAGATTCTTTGGAAGGTATTTGATACTGAGTTGAAAGCACAATGTTTAGAGATCATCTGAAAGAAAACAAAACTTCTGAACAGTGCTTGATATTCTTTCAAGTTCTAAACAAGAAGGTAAAGTAATGACAAAATATTTATTCAAAGGGAAAATATTTCAAGGGTATTATCAAAAACCATAGATTAAGCTGTGAATAAATTATGTTTGAATTGAACTCTGTAGTGAAAAACATATTCTGTTACTTATGAATTGTGTATGGGTATTCTTTTTTTCCTGACCTAGATGGAGAGCCTCTGAAAAGTAAATTCTGCATGCCACTGTTTCCTCCTTTCTGTGGTTTGCTGACTGCAGCCAGAAAGAAGGAAATCTGTGCCTAATACCAAACTCCTCTTCTTATCATTGGCATTATCACTCTTAACATTGGCACTTAGTTATCACATACAGGGCTTGCTAAGAAATACCCAGAACTAAAGTTCACATTTCATCTTTTGTTCTCACTGACCTCTGCTGCCTAGAATATCTTACTAAAAGCATTGCTTTAATTTTCAAAACTATAACAGTAATAGAAACAAGCTAATGACTTGATCTATGATTATAAAATGAATGCGATATAAATTTTCTAATTAGAATATTCTTAGAAAGCAGAACATTTCACTATCTACAATTTTATTATATATAACACACTCTGCTTGTTAACTAGGAAGCACTATTTGGTTTCTTGTTTGTTTCTGAATCCAATTTCTGACCAGTTCATCTTGATTTACAAAGCTGTGCATAGTTTAGAAACTGGTTTCTTTAGGGTGGATCAACAGTGGAACAAAACAGGTCTTTGTGGGGACTTGTCCTGTGAGTGATGTGTGAAGCAGTATAAATGGAGATGTTGTACAGTATTCACATGACTAGCAGGCACTACTACAAAATTAAACTTGATTTTCATGTGTTAAGAAATGCATGAGAGTAAGAATGAGAATGAATAGTACTTTCACTAAAAAATAATTGCAAAAAGAAAATTGTGTATCTTATTTTACAGTATTTTGGCAAACTAGAAAAAGCAAATTCCAGACATGTGAACAATGAAAGCTAAACCCAAGTTCTAGGAATCATTCTGCCTGGGGCAAAGGAGACAGCAATCTCACCTGACACCTATATTTACAACTAACCCTGTTTTGGCAATTAATTTTAGCATGCCCCTCATGGTAGAAGAAAATAGGTTATTAAGGTTAAGCATGTTTGAATATAAAATCAAAACTTAGTTTTGTACGTACAAAAGCCTTTAAAGATCATTAAGGTTAACAAGCTATTTTTTAGATCTTAGAGGAAAAAAATCATCAGTGGAAGATTTCATTGGACTTTAAGAATCTTCGCTAAAAAAAGGAAATCTTATTTATCAATGAATACTTTTTTTTCTTCTCTTTTAGTATTTTGTGTGGGGTTGGGGGGAGGTAATTAGATTTGTTTGTTTATTTAATAGAGGTACTGGAGATTGAACCCAGGACCTCCTGAATGCTAAGAATGTGGTCCACCACTGGGTTATACCCTCCCCTCTAAATACTTTCTTTGAAATATTAGAATAAGATTAAGGTGTATCAAAAGAGACTCCTACTTAATATACACATAAAGTCATAAAAACTGTCTTAGCCAACATTAATTCATACAACATATTTTATAGTAAGTGTTGTTATCCCTGCTTTAAAACATTCTGTTGTCAGACAATGAGTCTTTGGTAATATAATACAGCAATCCCCAAAAGAAACTGAATGAGGACTTCAATCCCAAGAAAGTAGCAAGAACAAATTGTAAATATAACATCTGTATCAACATGCTGATGCTGAAAAATATTTTATAAAAAAACATAAAGTATCATTTAACAGAAGGAAGATACTATTGTGAGGGAAAAAGAATTTGAATTTCATTCAAGAGCAACTAATACCATCTTTCATTAGGATTTTTTCTATACCATAATTCTTTCAGAAATGCTGAAGGTAAAACAATGACATATGTTTCTTCCCTTCATTAACTGGGAAAAAAAAAAACAGAGGAATTAAAAAATAAAATTCTCAAGGAAAATGCCAATTCTAACCACTGATGAATTTCTATTTCCATTTCCATAGACTGGCCTTGTTCTTTCCCCTGCATTACACCAGAATAAGGTATTTGCTGCAAATACAGCTGCAACGATGTCATTTTAGAAGATAGAATCTTTGTATTTTAATTATAGTTAAAAGTATGTATGTTAAAATTCTCTAGTAACACTCTTTTATTCTAAATTTGGTTAGAGGATAAAGGATCTGAGTTTAGGAACAAGAACTTATATGACTAATAAAAATAATGTGAAAAATCTGTCTTTTAGATTGTGACTTTCAATCTTTAATACAATCATAAACTTTAATACAATCATAAACTGTATTATTTTAAATCCTTTTAATATGACCAGAACATTGTTGGGCATAAAGTACCTTACAAATAAATACAACTGAGAAATAGATGAAGAAATCAGATTGAGGGAAAAATGAGGGTTGGTAGGGAAAATTACAAAGCAGTCAGCAGCGCAGCTGGGAAGTGCACTTGCTAGAGTTAGCCACAAGTGACATGTGAGTTTTCTAGCAGCCAATAAAATATAAGCTCTGCTTGCCTACCTGATTCAATGTCTGTAACACGCCAAAACGCCGGTTTCTTAGAAGCAGAACAACTATTCTTGTTATTGAAAACCAAAGTTTCATTCTTCCCAGAAAGGGCACCAGACGATACAGTAAGCAATGCTCTCAAAAACAGCCTTATAGTACAAAGCCTTTCACAGAGTTGTTTTCTACTCTAGTTCTCAAAGTAGCTGGGTGTTACATAATGCCAAACAGTGTCGTAAAAAAGTTATTCTCAGGCATGCAATGTAGGTACAGATGACTGATATTCACAGGATCTATAGAAATGCATTGCATAAGGCCATCTTCAATAAATACTTTCTCTTAACTGAGTTCTAAAAACATTCACCTCTATTATGAAAAATTCGAACATGCAGAAAAAATAAAACAATAATACTAATGCATAGCCATATACACTATCTAGAGACAACTGTTAACATTTCCATTTTACCTATTTGCTTTTTATGTGTACACACTTAAAATACGTTGCAGACATGAAGACACTTCACCTCCCAATCATATATATCCTAGAAATAAACTTTCTCCTACTTAACCACAATACCATTACTACACCTCAGAAAAAAGAAAAATAACTCTCTAAGATCATTGAATGTAGCTAGTATACATTTAAATGTCCTCAACTGCTCCTTCACTCTCCTAAATCAGTATTCAAGTTCAGTTTGTTATCTCTCTTTTAATCTAGAAGGGTCTCCCTCTTTTATATTCTATTACACTGATGTTTTATGAAATACCAAGGAAGTTGTCTTTGAGAATATACCACATTCTGGATTTGTCAGGTTGTTTTCTCATGGTGTAATTTAACTCATTGCTTTATTTTCTGTAGTCCCATAAAGTGGAAGTTAGGTTTAAAGGCTTGATTAGATCCAAGTTTGAGTTTTTGTTTTGTTTTGTTTTAACAAGAAGAGTTCATTTGTGCTGCTGCTGTGTACCCCATGTTACTCCAAGTCAGGAAACACAAAGTGTCCAGTTCTTACCTAGTCACTGATGAGAAATTTGACTGATCATTTGATTAAGGTAATGACTGCCCAGATCTCTTCGAATTATAAAGATTTGCAATAATGTATGGGGGTCATGTCAATATACTATTACACAATAACATTCTTGTTTCATGGTTTTAGCATCCATGCAAGGTCCTTTGAATCAATCATTTTAAATGCTAACTCTATCAATCTTTCTACATTAATTAAACATTTTTTAAAAAAGGTTGCTAGCTTAAGTCAATTTTGAGATACAATACATATACAGTAAAATTCACCCATTTTAGGTGTATCATTCTATGAATCTGACAACCTAAA